TGTCAGTATGTTAAAGTGTTTTAGCGCCCATAAATGGCTGCTTGCACTGTATGCTTCCCAGGAAGTTGAGGTTGTTTCAGAATGCTCTCAGGTCAGCAGGGGTAATAGTATAGATTGTGAAGCGCATAGAGCTCAGGGGTTTGCGCTATACAAATGCTATCTATTATCTATTATTAAAACCTAGTGACAGTTATTGACAAATAGCGGTCGAGGCGAAATTAATAAAATAATAGAAAATAAAACAAATGACAAAATGTGACTAACGAACAACCTTTTTCAATTCAGGATCATCTTTGTCTTGATAGAATGATGGTCCAACAGACACGTTGTTCCGGAGGCTCTCGTTAGCCGAATCTTCAATGTTTCGGAGCTGTTCTGTGGTTATGGATGGTGTGTCCAGCTCTATGGTCACTATGTCTGTGCCAATGTCCCTGGGGAATACAAATCAGGAAAATAGAATGTGAATAGAAGGACAGTGGGGTCTGCTTAGACCGAACACTTTTAATCCAAAAAAACACGACAAAACGGAAAAAAATCAAAATCCACATTTTTGTTCTTCTACTTGAGCAACAGGTACAGTCAAACCTGCTTAAACGACTACCCATCCAAGACAATCGCCTGTACAAACAATGGCTCTGTCCAAAATGTCTGCCCATCTAAGACGACCACTGTTTTCCTCGACAATGGGAGGCCATATTGGACAATTTCAACAGTATAATATATAATATATATATCTATGCAGCCACTTCTTACAAACCATAGACAACCCAGTCCTTCCGAGATTTCCTGGATATTATGCACCATCAACAAACAAGAAACATGTCCTGCAGTCTCCTCATACCTACAACAAACTTCTACTACAACAATGATGATAATATAACAATATGCCTGTCTGTAGACATTGTAATAATGATAATTACAACAACAATAACAAAAATAATAACAATAAAATAATAATAGTAATAATAATATTAATACAACAACTACTACTACCACTACTACTACAAATGATAAAACAATAATAATAATAATAATAATAATAATAATAATAATAATAATAATAATAATAATGAATTGACATATCCATAAATATTTACATATGCAATCACATGCATACATTATGTCTTTACATACATGACCTAACCATATTACGTCTTTATGTGTAGTCAGTACAGACACAACGTCGCCATCACAAGAATAATGAGTAACTCCAATGTCCTTTACTCACTTTGTTGTGCAAGGTGAAATGGAGCAATTCATTACTCCTATGACTATGACAATAGGAATATGTCTTGAGTCTTGAGGGGTAAGCTGTAAATAACATAACCGTTTCTCGTGATGTGAGCTTTTCACAGGGGAAACGTACATTACCGTTGGAGCATCAAAAAGCCTCTTAAAGACACTAAAAATATCTGTGGAGGCCTTCAATATTAATCCCCTGATAAGGGAAGGTCTATCTCTAGTACCTGTAGTTAGAGAGCAGCAATCACAGAGAACAGCAAGTCAGAGTGGGCTTCAAGATTTAGAAATGCTGAAGTTAAGAGAGAAGCCCATAACCTGCACACATCTACATGCTGTGGAAATGAAGCTCCCCTATGCTCAAAATATGGCAAACAGATTCTCAGCCAGAATTGATCTCATTGGTCATAGCAGAAGCCTCAAGTCATCTTAATCCTTATTTCTTTAATTTGCTTTATTAAAAAATAATCTCCTCTGCTATGCAACAGTCATAGTCAGACGTTGACTGATGAACAATTATTATTATGTCTTGAGGAAACACCAACCTTCTGCAACGTCTTAAAGCTTTTCACAGCTTTCTCTGCCAGCTCACAGTGTTTCTCCCCCGGTCCTCTGTCGAGGAAACATGAGATGAGATTCACAAAACGACAGCTCACTTTCATAAATAGCCAAAATTGTCCAAGACGACTACCCATTGTTGAGGAGAAAAGTGGTTGCTTTAGACTTAGACAGAGGGACGTCTTGGACAACGTCACAAATGACAAAGATTTAAAAAATGCCAGAGGGGCTGTGGGAAAAGTACATTTGTACAGGTGGCTGTGGGAAAAGTACATTTGTACAGGTGGCTGTCTTGGACATATGGCCCCTAGAGCAGATTCGACTGTATCGAGTTGATGTTATTTGAAAGAGACAGACAAGAAATTAAGTTCCTGTACAAGCTATATTAGGTGGGAGAAACATGTGGAAAAATTAAGTAAATCCCCTCAAAGAAAAACATTAAACAAAATTTTAAATAAGAAAAAAAATTCTTTTCTTCAAGCACTATTTTTTTTATAGTGGCAGCCGGTGTTATGGTTCTAACCAAGTTCTGGGTATAAAAAAAAATTGTTTTAAAGTTTCAATGTTTCACAGTTGATAAACCAAATAAGTAAATCAATTTCTTGGAGTAAAAAGATACATAAATATTATAGCTAAAAACTTACTTCAGGTTTGATTTAGTAAGGGTAGACAGACCTGTGCAACACAAAAGCGTTATGTTTTAAGATTTAAGGAGGAAAATACCTCCAATATTATCAACATTTGTGAAAGGACAACTTACTTCAGGACCCCAGTGAGTGTTTTCTCCCTGCTGTAAGTGTTTGCTGAGTAGCGTAAGAGTCTTACGCCTGCCAGAAACAACAAGTTCATTTTGCTTTTCTTTCCCTTTTCAGCCCCCAAGATCTTGATAGCCTGAGGATATACATGAATATGTAAGAAGTAAAAAAAAAAAAGTACATATCGTGGGTAACATAGGAACATGTACAATTTATCATTTCCTGACTTATCATTCCCTGACTGAACCATTAGACATGTGCATGTGAGTGCATGCATGTGTGTGAGAGTGAGTCTAGGTTCAATACCAAGCACTTATGATTTGAGTTCTTTATGTGAGCTACATACCTGAATGTGGGACAAATTGCTGACGTGTGTACCACAGCATAAGGCATTGTCGATGCCCTCGATAGTCAGAACCCGCACCACACCCACGTGGTCATCTGGCAGACCAAGGCCGCGGAACTGAAACAAACAAACAAACAGCGGTTGACTGGACTCGCACACCCCTACCTGGCAGCTGAGAAGAGAGACTGGCATGAACAAGTGTATGTACCTCTTTAGTTTTAGTAATAGTTTTAGGGCATTAGCAATACATTTAAGGTCATTTAAGTGCCAAAGATAAAAGGTGTTACAAGAGAGTAAAAAACATTAAAAAAGGAGAGATGATGATGATTGATGTTTGACGGGAAAGAGGGAGAAAACCAAGTCTGAGCAGCCGCCAACTAAGCATGCATGTGCTCCATGGTTAGACTTCCAGACTCGTAATCGTGAGGTTGCGGGTTCGGGGGGTTTGAGCCGCGGGCCCGACGTTGTGTCCTTGGGAAAGGCACTTTACACGAATTTTCCTCACTTCACCCAGGTGGGAATGGGTACCCGGCCATAGACAGCGGAGATCTTGTCAGTATGTTAAAGTGTTTTAGCGCCCATAAATGGCTGCTTGCACTGTATGCTTCCCAGGAAGTTGAGGTTGTTTCAGAATGCTCTCAGGTCAGCAGGGGTAATAGTATAGATTGTGAAGCGCATAGAGCTCAGGGGTTTGCGCTATACAAATGCTATCTATTATCTATTATTAAAACCTAGTGACAGTTATTGACAAATAGCGGTCGAGGCGAAATTAATAAAATAATAGAAAATAAAACAAATGACAAAATGTGACTAACGAACAACCTTTTTCAATTCAGGATCATCTTTGTCTTGATAGAATGATGGTCCAACAGACACGTTGTTCCGGAGGCTCTCGTTAGCCGAATCTTCAATGTTTCGGAGCTGTTCTGTGGTTATGGATGGTGTGTCCAGCTCTATGGTCACTATGTCTGTGCCAATGTCCCTGGGGAATACAAATCAGGAAAATAGAATGTGAATAGAAGGACAGTGGGGTCTGCTTAGACCGAACACTTTTAATCCAAAAAAACACGACAAAACGGAAAAAAATCAAAATCCACATTTTTGTTCTTCTACTTGAGCAACAGGTACAGTCAAACCTGCTTAAACGACTACCCATCCAAGACAATCGCCTGTACAAACAATGGCTCTGTCCAAAATGTCTGCCCATCTAAGACGACCACTGTTTTCCTCGACAATGGGAGGCCATATTGGACAATTTCAACAGTATAATATATAATGATGTACATCTATGCAGCCACTTCTTACAAACCATAGACAACCCAGTCCTTCCGAGATTTCCTGGATATTATGCTCCATCAACAAACACTAAACATGTCCTGCAGTCTCCTCATACCTACAACAAACTTCTACTACAACAATGATGATAATAATTAATAATGATAATAAAAGACAGAATAATAAAAACAATAAAAATAACTATAATAAAGATCACCTTAATAGTGCCACCTACCTGGTGGCTCTATGCACCTGAAACAAGGCAGAATTTCTTTGAAATAAAAAATATTGACAGCTTACCCAATGACACGTTTCATGTATACAGGCCCATTCAACTTACAAAAGTCCTTTAAAATATGTATATATAACCTACCTGCAATCGGACAAAAGAACACACACATAAAGAAAATCACTGTGGCTGCTGATCATACTTGTTGTTACAAGAAAAATCAAACTACAGTAGTTAGTAAGATTTCAATAAACTCTTTAATAAAAAAAAACATCAGAAATGATCTGAATTCTATTTTTCTTTCCAATATAATTTTTTGAACTTCTTTTTGTATGGTTGGAGCGAACCCTACTTAAATAACCTGTTGGCCTGCTGTTCAGGTGTACTAAACCCTCTTTTCCCTTTTGAAATTTCTTAATCTGTGTTATCGGGTGCATGAGCTCGAGAAATATTTTGCCGGAATTGATTTTTCAAAGTGTTGACAAAAATTATGAAAAAATTAATAATCTAGGTACAGTTTTTAAAACAATGAAACACTTTCTTCTCTCTCGTGAGAAATGTTGGTTTCTGTACTTAGAACAGTTGACCAACTTGCCAATGAAACAGTAATTCCTCCTCCCTCGAAGTGTACTAAACCTGATTCCACTGATATTTTGGAAGTACATTTCCAGTCAGATTATAAGAAAACTCAAACAGCATTTCTGAACACCCACCAGGACGTTGTTTGGAAGCCAAACTTGTGGTCTGCCATGGCTGTGATCAGATGTTGAGCTGTGATGAAGATATGAAATACAAACATGATGCCAGAGAAAAACAAGTGAACATTCCCTAATGGCCACCTGTCAAACAAGTGAACATGCCGTAAAGGCCACCTGTCAAAGACCATCGCCTGTACAAACAACCACTTCTCACTTCCCCTTTTGCAATTTAAACAAATATTATAATGATAGTGTCCAATACATAACATCTGTCTTAGAAAACCACGTTTCTCTTTGAACATGGGTAGCTGTCTTGGACAATTTCTACTGCAGCTCAAAGACTGATTCTTGGAAAAAATTATCTAAATAAAACTATTGAAGCTTTAACAGGCTTGATAATTTGAGAAAATCACCCCCCCCCCCCTTCACTAAAAACCCCCCAAAGAAAAACATATAAAAGCCTGAACACAAGAAATTTACTTTGAAACAACCAATGCAATTTTCTTGTGTTCAGGCTTTCCACAACCCTTTTTGTGATTTCTTCGTAAAATCACAACACTGAGACACTTCTCAAGAAAGTTAAACTGAATACCAAGCTCTTCTCCATTCTGTTGCAAAATCATTGAATGTAAATGTATAATCCTCCATCTACGTGCTAAAGTTTATTCAGGAGATAGGCTGCTTTGATCCTGCAAGTCAGGGTAAGTCTGAACTTTGTGAAATATGTATATATATATTATACATGTTGCCGTATGTACTTATACATTTTTTTATGTTTGAGACACAAGGAAGACAACTTATTACGCTCATATCTGTTTATGACTACAGAGTGCATGAATTTTCCATGGCTGAAGTCCACATTTTATTTGTGAAGACTAGTGTAGTGGGAGAGATGGAGGGAGGGGGGGGGGGGCTACAATTGGGGAAGGAAAATATGTGACCATCTGTCAGTCTTTATTAAGAAGCAAACAACTCTATTAACGGCCAAAGAAAAGAAAATGATAAGATAAAAAAAGGGGTAGGATAAATAGAAGGGAGACAGGGATGTATATATGTAGTATAGGGTTTTACGGCGCTCACAACTGCTAAGGTCATATGAGCGCGCTGACGATGGCAGCAAAATGTATGTACTAAAGAACAAAGAAAGGAGACTCACTCAAAAATCTTCATAATTAGAAGCCATAAAAACATAAATGATAGAATAAAATTGGAAAGAAAAAAAACACCAAAAGAACTGCCTTACTCAGATTACAATTTGGTAAATTGTTAGAAATCTTAACATTTCTGTTGGTGCTTCTTAGGTCAGTTAAAAACTCAATAATTTTCAACCCGACCTTATTAAAAGTAAACATATTCAAATATATTTTTTCCCCCTAATGTTCCCAAAACTTCATTTTTTCAGAGGCAGCGACACATCAAAACATGCCTGTATGTTGCTGCATGAACTCAAATCTTCGGTCCCAGTCCAGTTGGAGGGTCACTTCTGAGCCCACAGATATTTCAGTTTTTGTAAAGTGGACCGCATCTTCTCCGCTGCGACTGATGCTCAAGACAGGAATGTCATTGATCTGTAGATGGATTTACACAAAAGATCATAAACAGGCCATTTTTCTGCAAATTAACATACAAAGAAATATTTAATGAGCCATATGTCTATAGATGGACATATGAGGAAGATATTTAACTGGCCAATGTTTTGTACATGGAAACACAAGGAAAATATTTAACATTATAGTGACCAACTAATCTTGTAGTCGGCAGATTAGTCAAGGCTGTTCATACTTTCTAGGGAAAAGCATACTCATACTAAAGATAGGAAGCATTTTAACGGAGGGAGAAGAGTATGCACATTGAAGTATACAAGGAAAATATTCAATAGATCATTTTCCTTCTAGCTTTGTTCAAACTTTAAAAACTCCATTCACCCATGAGAGAACCATTCACTTTCAATTACATATATAATTATTAAAGTTATCTTTTTCCACAAACAGTATCATACTTACAGTTCCTCGGTCATCAGGCTGAAGAGACAAAGAAAAAATAACTTTTCATCACTTCAGTCAGACATAAAAATTGATTCCGCAAATCAGTGTAATGCATTTTAATCAACTGATCATTAAAAGTCAGATACACTGAGTGTCAGTAAATGGTGATGATAGAATTAAAGTTAAGTAAACAAAATTTTAAGTAATCTATATTCATTCTAATAGATTTAGAGCAATAAAAGAGATGAAAACATTTCCAGCAGCAATATTTCAATGTATATTGCTATGACTAATGACCACACACCAATTGATCTGACATTATGTTCTATACCCTAAACTAAAGCTGGGGATCCAGTGGCCGAGTGAGTAGTGAGTTAACACTCAAAAGTATTGTAAAGCAAAAGTGTCGGTGACACAAGGTTTAAATGGGTGGTCACTGGGTGTGTCCCTGAGCAAGACATGACAACCCTTGTTAAAAAAAAACAGGGTGCTGCACGCTGGCGACCAGAAATGGGAATGAATGAATGTGTGAAATTGTTCTGTATTGGTGTAATAATAATAATATTTTGTATGTTATGTATGTAACTAAGTATTATGTGATGTAAAGTGCGTTTATAATTACGTATATTTATGTAATATGTTTGCCACTATAATCCAAAATTCCCTATCAGGATCAATAAAATATAATTTATTCATTTCACTGTGTAATTTTTTGTCTGATTCTGTTACTTATAGTCGGTGTGACTCAGAAGCTCGACGGAGCTCCTCGGCTTGGGGTCATGGGATTAATGAGCCCTGAAGTGATTTTGCTGGTGTTGGTTAAGAAGTTCGCATTTTTGTCTATGTTTGAAACGATATAACTTCTTCCCCATCCCACACACGCAAACCCTAAAAGCTCAATGTCTTGAGATTTATTCTACGTTAGAATTGATAATTTCTGCGCCTCAGTTTTAGATCTAGACAAGTGTGTGTACAGTATCCAATTTGTCCTATTTTAGTTACATCCCTATGAATAAATGATTTTTTATTTATAAACAGCACGACAGATCTCTCCAAAATATCTGTTAAACTGACTACGAATATCATGTCTTTTACTCTGAGAAATCTTAAATCTGTGCAAGTAATAATAGTCAAGTTATAAGAGAAGAAAGATACACATCTGCATTTTTAAACAAAAGACACTCAGCGTTAGCTCTTGTTTTACCATTAAACAAGAGAAAGTTACCCTGCGTTTGTTAATGATTCATGCTGTGTCTGTGGCAGCCAGCATATGTCTAAGAAAAATACATTAAGCGATTTAAAAAAAACACAAAACTGTGTAAATACATGGGTGTATTTCATGTTCCAAAAGTTCGACAGTTTTTCATTCACACTTGTCCCCTTAACATTTTACAATTTAGCATTGCTGATTTCAACGTGTCTGATGAAATAACAAGAAAAGTTACAATGTCCATTCTATTTTTAGTCTTGTGTGCCATGGGTGCATTAATGATAAAATTACCATAAATAAAGACAAGGATACACCTAAAACTTTACATTGAAAAGTACCAAGAATTAAGTCAGCCAAGACAGAGTGGCAACAGGGAGCTGACCCCTGTGACCCCGACGATATAAGGCGCTCGGATGGGAACCCCCCGCTGCAACTAAAAGTCCACGGTTGATGCGCCGTGATTTATATTATCTATTTTCTATTCAAACCGTTTCAGCTACATTTTAAGCTCAAGTCCAAAGTAGGTAAAAACTCTTTGCCATAAAATTATTTCTAAATTCACACTTTGAAGTTCTGAGAAAGTACATAAACATGTTTCTGTTAATGTCCTGAGCAACTTTACCTGTCCACCTCCCTCTGGGAACAGAATTGAGTCTTCCAATATTATATTGTAGCCCTCCACAGAAGTTTTTTTTCCTTCCACAAGGAGAGTTTTCTTTGCAGGAGTACAGCTTTTTACACGGGTTTGAAACTGCAAATAAAGAAAGGGTTTTCAAAAACAAGAGAGAAACACTGTGAATAATGTAACAATATAATATTTAGATGAAGTGTAAAATTTTACACAACTTCAGTTCATGAAAAAAAATTATTTCTAAAAAGTACAAAGCACAAATGAGAAAACTGCATGATACTAACACAGAGCCAAAGCAGAAAAAAAAATGACTTTAATTTTTTTTAAAAGACAACAAAATTTGAAACAGTTTCGTTAGGTAAGATCTAGTAGAAACAATTAGCAACCAAGTTGGAAAACTAGTCATCTTCCAACTGCCCCATTTTCCTGACATTGGTCTGCTGCTGCCAAAAGAGTTAAAGCTGCTCACTGATCTTTTGTCCGACAGTGTTAAAAGATATCTAACTCTTGAGTCATGTTTTTTTTTAACGTTTAAGTGTATTGTTGAGGAAAGTATGTCAGCTTTTAAATGTTTCAGGTGTATGCTGTATATTATTATCCCCTATTATTTTTTTGACCTGCTTTAGGCTTACATCAAAGAAAACATTTCAGAACATAAATTTCTCGTGACCTTTATGAATGGGCTTTTTGATTCTGTTATCCAAGTTTTAGACCTGTATGCAGAAATCTGAGTAGATTTAATAGAGCGATTTCATTTGATCTTCTTTTAATCGCAGTCAGGCAAAAGTGAACAAGCTATTTATAATGTAGATGCTCAGGCAGAGCATTTTAGGTCTATAAAAGAATAAAACACAAACTCTAGTACAGTCGAAAGTGTGTAAGACGGAATCGCAAGGGAGCCAGAAAAAAATTCCGTCTTAGACATTTTCCGTCTTCGACAGGGGGAATTTAGGGGGAGCTGGAAGT